CACTAGTCATGCAGCCTGGCCACAATAACCCTTGATTTATCATCCGAGCCTCTCCTGCCTGGCGTCCAGTACACGTGGCCGCTCAGCTGCGACGTGCACAGCGCCTCCGTTAGCATCTTGGCTGTCACTGTAGGGGTGCACGGGCTCGGCCATTCAGGAACACCAATAATCTTAATATTGTTATGTTGCCCTTCCACAGAGGCAGCGAGGAGCTAATTATAAAAGGACCATTTTCAGCGGGGCTCACGGGAGCCTAGGAAAACACAGTTCACCGATCCACGGCCATCTTGTGCCTCCCCCACGGCTGTTTGAATTTAACTAAGATTTATGCTTACGTTAAAAAAAGTTACAAATTGTAAGGTCCTTACTTTAGAATGTAAATTAGAAGAACACCCTGAAATGATGAAAGTATTCTGACCTGTAGTATTTTAGCCCATCCTTTCTATGCTGTCGTTACATAAACCTTTGGAAAGTACACATTTATTTTCCTCTCAGGTTTTCCATCATATGATCTTTCCCAACCCCTCCTGTCTATGTCAAAGAGGTAACACACCGAAGGGAAATAAGAGTTCAGCTAAATGGGCTTTGAAGCTGCTGGAGAGTTCTCCTCCATCTGCCTGGGTCCCAGCAAAGCACGAGGCGAGCTGTCAGCAAACTGGTGTGTGCTGGTCTCTGCAGGGCCGGGAGCTCGTTTCTGTCAAAGGTCTGTCGGTCTGAGACACAACTCACCGCAGTGCCAACAATAAAAATGTTTGCATATGAAACACATTTCTTATTTTGGTTTTGTTTGTACGAGATCAGGAAACGGGTCATCTTAACATGCGGAAAGATTCAATCCAATTACATCCAAGCAAATTAAACTTCAATCAGTACCAGCCGAACCCGTTTAATTTCTGAGCAGATCACTTCAGTTTAATTTACTGTTACTCTTTTAGCTTTGATTTGTAAAAAGGTAGAGCATTTTAGGAAGCAGCGTTTATTTTGATTCAATTTCCAGTCCTGGCAGACGACAGTAAAATAATTTTCTCTTAAAATGAATCGACTCAGATTATCCATCTGGTCCGGGTGAAATTCCTGTAGATTCAAGGAGTATCCACTGTTGGGCTGTTTGTTGCTCAATACACAGTTAAACCCTTGTTGTTGTTGTTGTTGTTGTTGTTGTTTCTTTTTTGGCTGCTCCCCTCTTCAGGAGTCGCCACATTAGACTCGCATGAAATTGTTACCGATTGATTTAGACCCGACGCCCTTCCTGACACAACCTGGGCTCAGACCTGGAGCCTTGGGATCATGAGACCGCAGCACTGACCACTGAGCTGCCTCAGCTCCCAGAAGCCTTTGGCCTTTTGTTTTCTTAAAATGAAAGTTTTATTGTACTTTGAGCTCGTCGTGTCTGAATGTTTGTGCTCAACCGAACTGACCGTGACAGAGCACTTAAAGACGAATACAAAGTAGCTCTGGAGATGAGCGAGTCTTTGTGTGTAATACTTTTTGGAGGTTTTGGTTGCAGGAATGCAGGTTGATACAAAGAGCTACAGAGAAATAAAACTTCCTTTTATTCAGTTAAAATAAACCGGCTGATGTGGGAGCAGTTGCAGTTCGAGGGAGCACGGAGGAGAAGAGGAGCGAAAGGCCCGGACATGGTGTGAACACACAGGATATAAAGAGCGGGGGCTGATGAGGAAGAGGAGACACCTGGGCTGAAAGAAGTCAGGTGTGGCAACACTGACTGAGTGACACATGGCACACAGGAAAACACAGACGGATCACAAATCCAAACTAACACAAAAATCTCAGAACACAAAATGAAACAAGGATAAACCTGACAACAAAAACACCTAAACTAAAAAAAATGCAGATACTGACGTGTTTCATCTGAAAAGCACAAAATAAATAAAAATTCATGTGGTAGATTTGACCAGAAACAATAAAACATAAAACACTAAAACTAATAACAGTCTAAGGAAGAAACGATCAGCATGCAACTCTTGTGGACTCAATTCACTTCAATTCAGTTTATTTATAAAGCGCCAATTGACAAGTTGTCTCAGGGACTTTACAGGAACATTCACATAATTAGTAAAGTTCTCTATCTAAGAATCCAGCAGACAAGATTAATCTTTTCTTCGTTGCAGTCTCCCATCCTGAGCAAGCACAGTGGAGACAGTGGGAAGGAAAACTCCCTTTAACAGGAAGAAACCTCCAGCAGAACCAGCTCAGGACAAGAGACCATCTGCTTTGACCGGCTGGTAGTAACGGTACACGTGGGTGTATCGAACCGTTTCGGTACGGCATGTTTGGTTCGGTCCACATCTGTATCGTTTCGGTTATTTTTTCATTACTTAAATTTTATTAATGAGAGATTATGCGCAGTGAAACTAAAGTTCCTAAGCGTGTTTCAGCACGGCGCTATAGTCTGGCAGCACGCGCAGCATTAGCAGCCTAGCATCTCGTTGTGGTCTCCTGTGTGGGAACTTTGTGTCTTTCTTGTTAAAAGACAAGTGAACAAGTCCAAAGCTGCGTGTCGACGTTGTTTCACGGAGACTGGATCTGCAGCAGCAACACGTCGAACTTGTTCACGCTCTTGAAACGACATCATCTGAACGTGAACGTGTCTTCTAGCAGTTTGGTGCAAACAACGATAGCAGCAGCATTTAAACATCCTTCATCAGGTCATTCAGATCGGTCCAGAGCAACAACACAAGCTGAAGGAGTTTCTAAAGCTCTGGATCTACGTCCGTATTCTGTTGTTGATGCGGCGGCTTTAAGCATAAAGTTCTTGAGCCCCGCTGCCTACGACATCCAACACATCAACACTTCAGCCAAAAAGCTGCAGCAGCACTTTATGAAAAGATAAAACTGATATTGTCAACAAGCCCTGGACCAGATTAAAGTCCTGACCTGATGATGATGAAGAACGAGAGATTCAACCAAATCATAACAGAAATGATGACTGTGCAAGAAGAGGTATTGTTATTGTATAATTATGATCTAATTAACTTTTTTAATCTTATTAAGGTTTTTTTTATCTCTTTGTGCCGTTTGCAGTCTGAGGATGTCAACAAGATAGAGCTGAGTCTTCTTCTTCCACCAGATCACCTCCAGCTAACACGTCTGTAATGACTGAACTTGTTTATTTGGCATATTTTCAAAATAAACAATTTGTAAATCTCTATTTTGGACTTTTTTGTACGAAAAATTAACCGAACCGAGCCCTCCTTGAAACTGAACCGAACCGAAATGTGATTTTAGCGTACCGTTACACCATACCGGCTGGTTTGAGAGGACAGAAAGGAGAGGCAAACGAACACAGAATGTAGGTCCAGATGTAGGTCCAGGTGTAGGTCCAGATGTAGGTCCA